CATAAATGTTAGTTAAAAATGTAAGGTGTTCATTGATACTCAATTAATATACAACTTAGAAATTATATTGCGTTATTTTTAGAACATATGTTTACGAGGGATGAAGATTTTTCTTATAGTTTTCTTGTAATTCTATCAATATCCTTGATTTTATTGGAATATATAGTTAAAAAAGATAGGAAAAATTTCGAGTACAAAAACCGTACTTACATTTTTTTGTGATCTAATATATATATATACAGGGTGACTGGTGAATTACTATCGATACTTGAGGACGTGATATTTGACGGTCATATAAAAATAAAAATAAATATTAATATATATATATATACAATTAACTATTTTCTATATATAAATATACCCTTTTTGTCGTCAACAGTCAGGTAAAATAGCTTGTCTCATAAAATTCTTGTTGAATGTTATTCATATTTCATAAGTCAGTGGTGCAACGTACCGGTCTTACACGCTCTTGACCTACTCAAACACACCACTCATGATTTTAGCTAAATTTATATGAAAAAATGTTTATTTGCGAGGAATTTTAATTAAATTAATTATTGTATTGTCGAGAGTGTCAAATATTGCAAATGTTTCGTGTGCTGTTTCGACTTATTAACGCTTTGATAAAATACTTTTCATTCTTAATTCTTAGAGCAGTTCTTTGCAATTTAAACTGTGTGGGGCCAAACATATTCTTGTATATATATTAGTATTTTATATATGTTTGTGAATAATTCAAACTTGATTAACATAATATGATTCCTTATCATAAAGAGACGTTTAGTGAAAATGTAGCAACGTCATAAGGCACAATCTTGACCCACTTGGTGAATTCGCACCGTCTTGTTTTTATCAGCGATTTTAAATAACTTGTTAATTTTTTTACACAAAATATCTTTCGAGTGTACACTTATGTATGGATGCAATTTTTCAATTCAACTACGTAGAAAATAATGCAATTATTATATATATATATATGTATATATATATATATATATATATATATATATATATATATATATATATATATATATATATATATATATATATATATATATATATATTCCTGTTTAAAAATCTCAAATTGCATATATATGTAGTTTTTTAAATTATAATTTATAGTATTTTATACCTGTTATGTAAATAGAAAATAATTTGATCTTTCTATAAAGTTCATTGACCGCTTCGCTCTATAAGTTCTTATACACTCATAGGACTTAAATTTCAGTTCTTTCATAATATTAGGTACTGTAATAGTATTAAGCCTATTTCCTTTTCATAAGTATAGGGATATTTTATTATATATTTCTTTATTTCTTTCATTCTTTATATTAAAGTATATTTCTGATGAGAAAATTTCATATAATTCTGTTACATTTAAAATGAACTTTGTAACATTTTTTTTAACTTATTTTATATTATTAGTGAATTTATGAAAAGTTATGATTAATAAAAAATGCTCCAATAAGTAATAATTATTATGTATCACTTGATTAACGATATGAAATTTAATAAATTTTATATAATTATATAATATATATATATATATATATATATATATATATATATATATATATATATATATATATGTATATATAATTTCTCTAATAACTTCTAAGCAAGGTTTCATCTGGTTGATGACAAATCATTCATAATATAATGTGGTACCCAGAACCTTTATATAAATATCATTGACTACTCACGACCCGAGGATTCATACCACTTCTCATTTAAATTTATTAAACAAAATGAATCATCTTATCAGTATATTCACTATGAATTTTAATAAATTCTTCACCAAACATACACGTATACGGAAATAGATACAATATAAGTGTAATAGAATTTCACACAACATTTAATAGCTCATTAAATGTATTACAATATTACATACTCTGTCTGTTTGTTGTGTTAGCATCGTTTGCATCAATACTGACACATGTCGAAATCGATATAAGATCACAAATCGCTTTGAAATTGACAATAGCTGTGAAGTTTTTGTAGTTATTTGTGTAAAATTTGTAATGTGTGTCACCAGTGATATTACAGGTAATCATTGAATACCTTTCTTCATACGAAAATAGGGAAGCTAGTTACAAATAGTACTGATGGATATAATGTAATCATTACAACGATATACATTATTGATATAGTTTTTATATACAACAGAAAGTATGTATAAGTCAAGAATGGCTGTCTGGTTTAAATGAAAATGGTGGAGAGATAGATTAACACAATTGAAAGGACATAGGATACTTTTCATCTGATTGAAAAAGGAAACAATAAGTTCATCAAATTCAATATCTTCTTATCTACTGTCTTTAAGGAGGAATAGAGTTCTAATTCTGAAACTTACACAGTCGAAATCGCGGGTAAAAACCATTATATATATGTATAATATCTATTACTAGGATATTTACTGCATACTCTCGGCTGTATTCAGAAACTAAAATCTAAGATAAATATTTTATAATACAGATGTCTCTTAGTCATTATTTTTAGAACACTATAATAAGTATTTTAAGTATTTTCAATTCTTAACACAATTCAAATCTTCATTCCATTGTCAAATCTTAACTCAAAGAGCGTCTTCGTACGGAGTCTAAGATACCTAATTACGTATATTTACGAAGCGGTTGAGTAAATGAGTGTTAGTAATTTTCAGTGTTATTTCTTTTCTTTATACAGAATGTGTTAAATTTATATTACAAGTTATTTCATTCTGTCTTTTACTTGGTATTACAAATGATTGCTTCACAACCCGCTCACATTTGAAGGTAAGCTCTAAACCGACTCGCTTCAAAGAATTCACTCGAATTTCTTGCAATTTCATTACTTAATTTTCATAGTCATTGTATTAAAAAATAAATAAAAATATATAAAGAAATATATTTTGTGCCTTTTATACTTAGAAATGAAATCAGTTAGTTTTTTTATACAAGTTTTTTATATGCGTACATTTATTGTTTATTTAGTGACAGTATGATGATAAATAGATTCCTGTATTACCGCTTCTTGCTTATTACATGTCTTGTAATAACTTTTTGCATTATTATATAATATATAATTAAAAAAGGTTAATTGCAGGTAGTTTAAAATGACTACTAGTTCGTTTTTTTATTAATATGAAAATTATAATTATTTTAAACTCTGCTCCGTAATTATTGTGAGTGCTACATACAATGAATATTGTGTTTTGTACCTTTGGACAAAAATACAAGTATACTTTGTTAACAAACGGAATGAATTTCATAGTATGTCATTAAAATTGCACTTATTCGTAGGTACACACTGAACCAAGTCCACACAGTTTTAAATAAAACTAATATTTTTCAGACTATACTACAGACGAGACGTCTGCCGTGGTCACGGTTGCTGCAAAGTAGCCGAAACGTCGGGAGTATGTTGTTTATAGACAAAAATAAAATACGCGTAGTAATCCAAATAACATTAGTTTAATCCAAATGAATACTCGCGATAATCTTAGACCTCACCGTTTTTCCTCTGTAAGTATATTACTAACTTTGATAAATATAATAGTCATCATAAAAAGCACTTAAAAATAATTAAAACGTGAGGTTCGCCAAATATTATTAACGAGGGAGAGTTGATTATATTTTAGGTTTTTTGTTATTCAATGTAACGGAACGCGGGGTTGTTGTAATTGTCAACTGATTCGCAATTCTGTGACATTTCTTACATTGATTTCATCAATCTGTTTTGCTCCGATGGTTTGTAACTTAACTATTTGTATAAAGTTATTTAACAATTTGCTACATGGACGTCGAATAACGTAGTTTTTTCTTACATACCTATATATTTTATCACGAAAATTTATTAAAAATGAGCTGTTTCATCATTAATTTAAAGCTTTGGTATTCGTACGTAAGGGATCGTTATATTTTTATACAAAAGGCTTTCGTTTATCACAAATTGGTAATATTGTTTTATTTTAAAATCGAAACATTCAATATAATGATATTAATATGCGTGTATGTACTGCTAACTTAATGTAAACAAAATTGTTTACAGGCCGGTAATATCAAAAACTTTAACAAATATTTGGTTACAACAAAATCCTAAACTCTATCGAACGCTAGAGGTCAAATTTGAGTCATTTTAACCTACATGAAAATGAAATACGCACAAAAATACTTGCTTACTTTTTCAGGATCTTGTAAGCGTTTTTAATAATTTTTTCAGTAAGTCAAACATACACTAACCAATGTATTTAAGACAGGATTTAAAACCTTTTTGTGTCATAATTTTTTATTCTCAAAAATGTTTGCAATAAAGTATATTATATTATCTTAAAAAAAATCGTCAAGTTTTTTGTATATAGGGAATATGATATGCGTCGAAGGACATTTCGGTTCGAAAGAAGATGACATTTGCATAATTAATGAGTTGATAAAAAAAATATTTGGTCTTTTTAGCAAACAATCATACATAAATATTATTTAATAATGTAGAAATGATTTGTTTTTTAAATTCTAGATGTTAATAGAAAATTAAGCATTATTTTATATATATGAATACACATGAAAGACATAAAAAAAATTGTGGTAATTTTATAATAACAATAGTATAACATTATTTATATATAATAATATTTCATTGTCCAGGATTTTTTTTATATCTATAAAAATTATTTAAAAAATACCTGCTGTTCTATAAAAAGGAGCGGTCGTATTATTTTGTTTAACAAGTATACAAATCTATTGACTTTTTGGAACCGGATTATCAACTTTGTTATAATATTTAAAATAATCATCAATAGTGTTGAGTTATAAAAAAATTGCAAAAATTCTTTATAAAAGCGTAATAAAAGAAGAAAAATTTCTGTAATTAATTTCTTAATTAAGAAGAATTAGATGTCAAGGTCGTACGTGCATGATGTTTTGTGTGTTCGTTATTTCGTACAGCAAGCGTGTTAGCCAAACATGAATCCACAACCCACAGCCAAGCCAAAGTCAAGTTTAAGACGTTACCACACTCACCTCAAGGCCGAGTGACGGTCGTTGTGTTGACTGGCGCAGCGCTAAGTGTTCCAATGCTGACTTACAACTGAGACCCGAACAGCGCACTTCGAACATTTCACAACCTGTGTGGTGGTGTCCTAACATTTCACGGCGACTGTATTGAGGGACGTATCGAAGTTTCGATTAGTAGTGATAACGTCTTTAATATTATTCTAAATGCTGAAAGAAAGGTTATCTGAATTATATGCTATTATTGAGCAAATTATGTGAATGGTAGAAATGTTAAAATTGACCTTTGTCCTTTAAGATCTGTATAATTCAATGTTCTAGAATCTCTTGGATTTCCATCAGATACATATACATAAAATTATAGATTCCATTATAATTTTACATTTCTGTCATTTAATCCTTTTTTTTGAATAATAATATGTTTTAAATAAAATTATTGTTTTCGGACTTAGTATGTAAGCGTTTTTTATTATTTAAAACTACACACTCTACACAGTGACTTTGTAGAGACGAGCAAAAGCGATGAAAAATTTCTGAGACGGTTGCTGCAAAGTAACCAAAATGCCGAGAGTGTGTAGTATAAAATAATAAATAATGCATACTTATTCAGAAAATATTAGTTTTATTTAAATGAATACTCGCGAAAGTCTCAGATCTCATTATATATGTCATACTTTTAATGAATTCTTTATTGAATTAAGTTGATATTATTTTATAATTACTTCTAAACTTACTTAAGTCTAAAGTATTCTAGAAGTTTTATATTATATTGGAGATGGCTTTTATATTCGTTGTATTAATAAAAACACGTATAATTTTATCGTATCAGTGATTATAAATGGACATAACAAAAATATATGTCTATGAAATAAATTTGAATATTTTTGCATATAATTAATGTCGTATTGATTCGTCTTTTATATACCATTGAGTATATATTATCATTTTATAAAATATACCTTGAAACCCAAAAATATATAGTTTTTACTTCTGGTATTTTCGTGTAATATTCGTAAAATTTTTTCAATGATTTGAAAGATTTCTGTTTTTTATTACAAATACTCAGAGCGTTGTAGATAAATTCGTCGCACTACGATACTTTTTTAAGATTTTAAGCCACAACTCCATTCAGACTGAGTTTGAGGATTTTTTTGAAAATGTCAAGGTTTTGTTTATTGTTTATTTCATGATACTACGATGTAAACAAATATACTAATACATGACATGCATTACTTACTAAGAGTAATAAGTTAAGTGTCATGTAATATAATCATATGTAGATGTAAACGTCAAAAGAATTATGATTCTTTACTTTAATAAAATTATTCCTATATTATAAAGACTACAAAATACAGTGGAATATATATGGCGAAAATATTATACTTATTATAGAAACATTATAAAGTTAATGTAAAATGTAAGCATTGCTTCTGAATAACAAACAAATTACAATTGCAAAAAAAAAATAATTTTCTTAAACTTATGTTATAAATTTTATATTTTTATTTTTATACATAGCATTAATTACACCACTTGAAATTTTAAGTTATTGAAAGCTGGGATTAAAAGTAGGTATCGTGTTGGTATTTTTTATGACATTTGCTTTATTTGTATCGACGAAAGATAAAAATCTTAGCTGATCTTACAATACCTAGGTGTGTGGTCATATAAATCTAAGATATACATTTATTTTGGTTCGAATTAAGATAGGAGTCCTATATCCTTACTTAGGTATGGCATTCATTAATCGAAGTAACTTTGTCATATTAAGTTTTAAGTACAATTCTTAGATATAAGAAATTCGGAATGTGATTTGTGAACTATGGTCGTAATATAGATTGTAGGACTTTACGTATTATAATAATAATATAAACTTGTGTTATTATTTAGTAATAAAGTTACTGATATTATTATCATTCAAATTATTATTTTCAACAACATGAGAGTCTGTTGTTTTAGATGTTGGGTTATTTCAGATGAAAACTCATTCCGATTGTTCTATTGATTATAATGTGTAGATTGCTTTGAGTTTTATTGAATTATTTGGCCGCAGAAACAGTAGCAGTTATAATAATTTTGAAAACTTTAATTAAGAGCACAAGATGAAGATATGTAAGTGGAATATATGTGGTGAATTGCAAGTTGCTTTCTGTATTTTTGTAGGAGAAGCATAAGTTTAAATCAATACATGTAGAGAAACACGTTTTATATGAACAGTTTTAAAAACGCTAAGTAAAAGTTAGGTCTAATTTATTTAATATTATGATTTTAGTTGTAATATTCTTTTTTGGACATCGCTATATATATTTAATGTAATAAAACAAGTCGAATGCATCATGCTTTGAAAGCTTTGAATTATAATGTGCTATATCGGAATTGGGACATAAGGACCAGCCAAGCAAAGGATTTTGATATAAATACACAAATATTGCAATAACTATACAAAAGCAGTATATCCGCACGGTTATAAGTAATAATTAGCATAAAAATATTTTATTTCTCCTTTTCCTTTCGATAAAACCCAATATCTTTCATGTTAATGTCCAAACACTTGGTTTATAAGAAATTCCGCCTTAAGAAAGTGACTTATACAATATACGTATGTATATATGTATATAATCAGGGTTAAATATGGTAAAATTGTTCTGGTCGTTGTTACTTCGATTTTATCCTTATACAATAAAAGAAAATAGAATTAAACAAATAAAATCATTTTATTGTAAAAGTCTAGGCAATGAATAAATTTTAAGTAACAGGGTAGTGGACGGTTGGTTCTACTCTATTTTTTCTATTAATATTGTTGACAACCTTTTTTTAGTTATAATGTTATATGATTTAAGATTCAAATTGAAATTTTCAGTTGTTATACCAATTATGCTAAGGTCAGAACACAATACCTTGACTTGAGGCGGTGAATTATTTTATACATTTAATCCCCATATCGGTGGATAGTGAAATTAAATTATCATAAATTTTAATTAAAATGCTTCTTGTTAAACACATACAAGGAACCCTGTTTGAATCAGAACACTGTTTCTGTTGTTGATTTTAATTAGTTTTATGTAATTTTAAATTGAAATAAGTGCATTAGTTCTATTAAACTAAAAAACTCATTATATTTTCTTTACTAGTCATACTATACGAATTGTGTCTCAGATAATATAAGATTTGATTCTGTTTTTCTCTTTAAAGACGATCATCTACATACAACAACTGTCTTATTAATAAAAAAATGAATTATACTAATTTATTTGCTGAAAAATCTTCTGATTAGAATTTAGTGTCTTAAACATGATTAGTACAAAGTAATTAAAATATTTTTTGATCTTTTTTATGTCCTAATGCTGAAATTATTATAGAATAGTCACATAGTTAAGAAATTTGGAATGTTTTAATTTTATTTGTCTACACATACAGTCATAAAGTTTGACTTAAAAAGATATTCTAAAGGAATATTAGTTTCGTTTCTAACACGAACAAAAGAAAACCGTCCCAAATATGTCTTCTGTCTTTCCTAGTAATGCATAAGGTTTTTCCAGGCACATATGACTGTTGCGTAACCTTATCTACTTAGATACGCTATCGCAACGAGGCCGTATCACCCTCAGTTTAGAATAAATATTGCCAAATAGGTATTTTATACATAAATAGTAAAAGGTCCTGTGCCGAGTGGTCGTCATGGCTAGGGATAGTTTCGCAAGATTGTGTTGCAAGTGTCCAATGCGAGTAATTTAGCAACGTTGCTAAATACCATTCGGATATACTTCCACTTACGGTTACACGCCTACCAGCCGATTATATAGTTATTATTATTTAAGCCTTAGTGTTTTTGTCAATAATGTGTATTTTCACCGCTAAAACACATAATGTACAATTATTATTGTCTACTAGATTGTATATAAAGCGCTGTATATATTTCTTTATATAAAATTCAATGAGAAAAAAAAATTATACGTTTATTTACATTTGTTTTATTTCAACAATAATCTGAAGATAAAATAATTAAAATAAAATGACATGAAGGAAAACTTAAAATATATATATTAATGAATTAATTATTATTAAACTGACTCACCTCTTATGAGAAATAATTGTCACGTGTCATATCACGTGTGAAAAAATATATTTTTAACCGTTTTTTTATATTTACAATAAACTTGACTGTCCTAACGCTATCTGCGACTCTTGGCTTACTAAAATTAAATAAGGAAATTACCTTGACACATGCCAGTATCAAGAATCGCTTGTCATCGTGATATTGTTTTTCCAGGGTAAAATTATCCTCTTAAAACATTAAAATAAAATACGGGATTTTTATCCCTTTTAACATAGAGGAATAAAGAAATAATATGCATCTAAAATTAACTAACATTTGGTGATGTTATTAACCTGTGTAATACTTTTTTTAATTATGAGGAAAATCTCAAGTGAATTAGTATCTATTTTTGTCCAAAGAGACTAACTGTCTTGCATGTAAAATTCGGCCTTGAAAATAACTCTATTTCTGAATTGTATTGATGGTGATCAGCTTGCCTTATACAGACGAAGTTTGTTCCAAATGAAATAAATTTTCCTTATATTATTTCTAGCTAAACTACAGAATAGTATGGTTTTAGGAGATATTGGAATTAAACTATTTTGTGCTTTAACACTAGTAACTGTAAATAGAAAAAAGTAATATATAAAGCAGAATTCCTATGAACATGTAATAAAAAACAATGAAAATTTTAGATAAAGCTTAAGCTCTGGAATGTTTTTTTTTAACTTCAATGATATAAACAAAGCAATGACAACCTGTTGTCACATTAATATGACCTTTAAAGGCCAATTTGCTTTATTAATTTAGCGTAAATAATTACAATTTCGTCACATCATTCCGATGTAAATGAAGCTTTGGCATGAGATCTACGAATGAGCATTGTGCAAACGGCCATGAATCGAAATCTAATTGAAAAAATAAAAAAAAGATGCTTGATCTTTATTAGAGAGTGATAGGTAATGTGGCCTTGATGTGTTTCAATATGAGTTAGTACATGTAAGTGTTTGTATAGCAATAATTACTAATTTCGTATAAAATATAATGTTAAACTGTGAACATTTCTCAATTGTTTCGTATATATTTATTAACACCTAAC